TCGTAAAGAGTCAGACACGACTGAGTGACTTTCACTTTCAATCATCACGAAGGCCTAGGAAGCGGTTATAAATACCTTAGTCTCATTTCCAGATGTGGAAATTGAGACACAGAAACGTTAAGTGCTCAACTCAAAGTAAGTTGACCAGTAAGTGACAGAGCCAGAGTCAAACCCAGGCCGCGTGTCCCTATTTCACTGTACTTGTGGCTGAGCACAGGCACAAACCCCAGTAGTCACTGAATGCATACTAATTCCAGATACTGGTCTAGGCGAACTGGATGTGGAGTTGCCCATATATTTACAAATAGTATATATGTAAGGAGGAGATAGATGTTGACAAAGGAAATAATACATAAATACATAAATAAATACTATAAATTTCAGATGTTAGTAAGGACAATTATATAACAATAAAATGATGAGAAGGAAAAAAAAAGTGTGATGGGGCAACTGCACTAACTTCAATGGAGTACAAAGGGGAGATTTTTCTGAGGAGGCGACATTTGAGTTGCTATTTCCATGATGAAGTGAGCAAATCTTATAAGGAGCCGAGGGGAGATTTTTGCAGGCATACAAAATATCATACACAAATGCCTCAGGTGAGAAAAGCCTGGCATTTGAGGAATGATGAGAAAGTCAGTGTGGTCGAAGTGAACTGTTCTAGGAGTTGACAGTTAGGCCATAGTATTGGGGAAAGCAGCAGAGGTCAGATTATATACAGCCTTGTAGGTGATGATAATGAGTGTAATTATCACCTCTTGGAGGGTTTTAGGAATTGAAGTGGTATGATCAGGTTTCTCCTTTAAAAATCACTCTGGCTACCTTCTGGAAAAGAATGGGCAGAAGTAGAAGCTATTACTGTGGTCCAGGCATGGCGTGATATTGATTTAGACCAAGATTCAGCAGAGTGCTAAGATGTGACTGATTTTGAAATATATTTTTATGGTAGCACCAATAGGACTTTTGCTAGATACCAAGGGAAAAAGAGCAATTATACAAGACTCCTTGATACATTATTTTTGGCCTGAATTACAAGGAATAGTATAGAGTCAATGAGTTCAGATGACGAATATTAGGAGAGAAGCAGCTTTGGCCCTGAGGACAGGAAGTACAGGGAAATCATGAATTCTGTTTGGAATATATCAAATTTGGGTACTAGGTTTCTGGAGCATTCCAACATTTAGAGGAAGAACCAGCAAGGAGACTGAGAAAGGGCACTGATGAGATGGTAAATAAGCAGGAGAGTGCTTTGTCCTGGAAGGCAAGAGATTAACACGTTTGAGGAAGGAGGCAGTGAAAGCTGCAGCAAGTGCTGCTGAGAAGTCAGGACTGAGAGCTGAGGTGCGTATTTAGCAAGACGGAACTTGCTGTGACTTGGACAGGGACCGTTTCAGAGTTGCCATGAGGATGAAAACACGAAATAGGCTAAAATAAGGAAAGGAAGCACTAAAGTGGAGTTAATGCAGACAGACTGTTCCGAGATTTTTGGTTAAGCTCAACAGAACAATGAAGCAATAATGGGTGAGGGACATTGGGTCAAGGGACACTTTTTTTTTAAAGATGAGAGCTATTATCACGTCTAAATTAAATTTATCCTCCCCCCCCAAAAAAAGCAAGAGAGAAACTGATATTGCAGGAGAGAGAGGAGAAAACTCCAGAAGCAAATTCCTTAAATGGACAAGAGGTTATGGAGTCCAGGTTACAAGTGAAGAGCTGGCCTTGGAAAGAATCAGGGAACAGAAAGAGCACGCTAGAGAATCTGGTGGTAGGAAGTAAGGTGGTGTTCCTTTGATGGCTTAGAATTTCTCAAGGACATATGGAGAGAAATTAATAGTTAAGAGTGAGGATGAGGGAGGGGGTGTTCGACATTTGAGGAGATGAAATGAGACAGGAAACTGTTTTCCCAGAGACCAAGAAAAGGATTTTTCTAAAGAGATTGCTAAGAACTGGTTGGTTGTTTTGAGAGTTCGTTTGAAGCCAACATTTATAAATTTAAAGTGAGATGACTAGGTGCTTCTCTTGCCATGATTTGTTGCCCAGACGCTGACATGGAGTAATCAGGAAGGTGTAAGTTTAACCATGGTAGGTTAACAAGGGCTGAGACAACCACAATGAAAGAGAGAGGAGAAAAAATGCTGAGTGTGTAAGAAGGAAAATTAGCGTGATGGACCAGGGAACAGAGGCCAAGGGGAGGAGGGTCGTGAGGGCATAAGGGTGAAAACAGAAGGCAAACGGTGAAATCCGAACCAAGGTCCCAGTGGGGAGACGAGGAGTACTAGAATAAATGACAAGGACACAGAGAAGGTGATGCTCGACATAGAGGTCTTGGGAGGGGTACAGCTAAGAGCAGGGAGAAGGTTCAGAGTGCGATTGAGAATCTTAGGGCGGGAAGTGAAGGACAGGTGATGCCATGCAGGCTCATGAAGCGAGTGCGAACACACACCAGGACCCACCATTGTCTGACTCATAGAGAACGTTCTACCTCACATCGAACTATTTCTGACCTATAAAACCAGGGTAACTAAATGGTGTTACAGTCAAGACATATCTATGTGTGGGGTTCAGGGAAACAGAGGCTGACCTCATAAGGGTGAGATCTGTACAGTGCAAAGAGATCCTATGTTTAGAAGGCACTGCCGTTGTCATCTTTTACTGGTTTTTAAACAAAGGCCTCCCACCTTGATTTTGCACTGCATCCTACAATTTATACAGCTATTTCTGGACAGATGAATTAGTGACTTAGAAGGAGAGATATCTTCTCTTTCCTCATTTGGGTTGATTTTCCATAAACCTCACTTTTATCCATTTAGCATGCCTTTAAAACAGTTTATCAAAGTTCATAATGGAAGTTTTAAAGAACCCATCTGTCAGACACTTAACTTTTAATGCAAATTTCCTTTTAAAGCCATTCACAATAAAAATTAGGCTGGAAGTAAGAAATGACCTGACTAAAGAAACTGAATAATTAGTAAACTAAAAAAGAAAAAAATAATAATTTTAAATGTAGATCTAGTCTGAATTCATGCTTCGATGAGAGCACAGAAAAAAAATTACTTACATTTTTATTTCTTAATATAAATGTATTACATGTTTCCCTGGAGGGGAAAATGGCAACCCACTCCAGTATTCTTGCCTGAAAAATCCCATGGACAGAGGAACATGGTGGGCTATAGTTCGGAAGGGTCACAAAGAGCTGGGCATGACTGAGCATCTGAGCACTCTCACATTGCATGTTTATTATGGAAAGTGTAGAAAATAAATATAAACAAAAAGAAGTAACAATTACCTCAAAATCCTTAACAAGAGCTAATAACTTTTAACATTTTGGTATATATCCTCATTATGAATGTATATTATGCATATACAGATGAAGGTGAAAGAGGAGAGTGAAAAAGCTGGCATAAAACTCAACATTCAAATAATTAAGATCATGGCATCTGGTCCCATAACTTCATGGCAAATAGATGGGGAAACAATGGAAACAGTTACAGACTTCATTTTCTTGGGCTCCAAAATCACTGTGGAGGTTACTGTAGCCATGAAATTAAAAGACACTTGTTTCTTGGAAGAAAAGCTATGACAACCTAGACAGAATATTAAAAAGCAGAGACATTACTTTGCCAACAAAGGTTCGTATAGTCAAAGCTAAGATTTTTTCCAGTAGTCATGTATAACTATGAGAGTTGGACCAGAAAGAAGGCTGAGCACTGAATAATTTATGCTTTTGAACTGTGGTGCTGGAGAAGACTCTTGAGAGTCCTCTGGACTGCAAGTAGGTCAAACCAGTCCATCCTAAAGGAAATCAGTCCTGAATACTCACTGGAAGGACTGATGCTGAAGCTCCAATACTATGGCCACCTGATGCAAAGAGTCAACTCATTGGAAATGATGCAGGGAAAGACTGAGGGCAACAGGAGAAGGGGGCGACAGAGGATGAGATGGTTGGATGGCATCATCAACTTAATGGACATAAGTTTGATCAAATTTGGGAAACAGTCAAGGACAAAGAAGCCTGGCATGCTGCAGTCCATGAGGTGGCAAAGAATCAGACATGACTGAGCGATGGGGCAACAACTACAAATGGCTGCTCCAATTTCCAGGCCCACTCATGGCAGTGAATATTAACCTTCCTTTTAAATGTTTTGCCAGTTGGGTTGAGAAAAACGTTAGTATCATTGATTCTTTGTTTAATAATAACGCTGAGCAAGGTTCTGGATGCTATTGGCCTTATCTTCTTTGATGAAGGTCCTGTTAATACCTTTCAGTCACCTTTTTCTAGGCATTCTCTGGCCTTTTTCTTATTCTTCTCTAAAACACCTTTATATTTCAGGCTTACGGTACACAAAATTTCCCTAATTTTTCAAACCTTTGCCAAGGCCTGAACAACATGTTTTCAGAACTCTGCAGGGTTGCTGTGTTTTTCTCTATGAGGGAGGTTTTAAAATCCAGCACATATTATTTTAAACTAAAAAAAAAAAAAAAAAGAAAAAGCATGGTAATGGTAGTTAAGAAGATCACATTAATATCACGTAAATGAAAATGCAGTATAACATATCTTAAAATGTATAGCAAAAGATTAATAATGAAAACAATAGGAAAAAAGTATTGATCCCTGGGTCAGGAAGATCCCCTAGAGAAGGCAATGGCAACCCACTCTAGTATTCTTGCCTGGGAAATCCCATGGACAGAGGAGTACATGGGGTCACAAAGAATCGGATACGACTGAGCAACTAACATTTTCACTTTCACATCACACAAACTCACTGAATACTTGGCTTTCCCTATTCATTTCTCCAAATCCTGGCCATGCATTATACATAATGAAAAATTCTGGTAGGTTGGTCGGCTTGTCTCCATGCCTTCCACTCCAAACATTTCATTAATATTTTCACTGTGAGTGTGTGTATAATACACATTTGCACATTTTCCCAAGACAACCCATTAGAAAGCGGAATGTGGAATGCAAGATTAGGGTTTTGGATTATTGGATTTTTTCTTACCCTCTCCAATGTAATTTCTTCAAACTCATATTCAATTTCTGTCCCATTGACCTGTAAATAGGAAAAAAAAAATAAAGAAAACTATTAAATACATTTTGAGGAGGAGAGAGCTGCATTTTAAATAATATTAGGGGGTTAAATTGCACCCTGGCTATGAATAAACCACACTCTATTGATGTTTGTGACTGTATGTTCTCTTCCAAATGAAATATAGTACAAGGTATTCTAAAATATGACTGAGACTCTACAAACACAACACAACACAACAAAAAAACACTCATTGTATCCTTTAAAATTTCTTGGTGTTTGGGGGAGAGAAAACAGTACAAAATATGTACTGTGAGTTTACAAAGAGAAAGCCACCTAGCGTCATTGTTATAGTTACAAGGGAAATTTTTTCCTAATATCTCTCAATTTTTCTATGGATAGATTCTAAAATATGACCTTAAAAATCAGTGGTAAGGGCAACACAACCATATTACATTTTTGGCTGTAAAACAGCATTAAGAATGACCATGTTAGATAAATAATGCCTTCTCTTTATTGGGCTCAAGCTCGGGTAATTTATCCCCATTATCCTCCTGGTATATTTGTTGAGAAGCCCTGAACCATGTAACCATGGCTTCAGTAGCAATGAGAAAGGAACAAACCAGGACATGCTTGAAATTCCTAGTGAGAAACCATTTTAACCATCCAACCAACCCTTAAATTGATTCGAACTTAGAGAGAGAAACACATTTTAAATATAGTCAGGCAACATATAACATATGACTTAGATTTCAAGTGACATGAATACAGAACATATGAAGAGCTACTTTAAAATAATCTAACAAATATTAAAGTCTCATGTTTATCTATCACAGATCCTTCTCAGCCAGGCAAAATTTCTGAGCAAGGAAATTCTTGAATTGGTTATTTTTGGTTGTTGTTGTTAGAATATGTCTCAGAAACATTATTAACATTTAGAAATTAGTGAGAAAAAACTAATTTTCAAATAAAAATCTATGATTTTTATAAAATTCTAATTTTACTTTACTGTCCCTTCTTTAGAATAATTTAAACATAGTTCTTGCATATTAAGAGCTTTATGGAGGCAAGGACCAGGCAGTCACATTACCTAGTGGAGCCTGACCAAAAATAAATAAATAAATAAATAAAGAAAGAAAGAAAGAAAGAAAGAAAGAAGGGAAAAAAGTGAATGGATGAATACCTGAACTAAGTAAATTATTTACCCGATTTATAAACAGGCATTTGTGGCTTCTCTTCCATAAGGAATTTGAATATGGTATCATTAACTGAAGGTATAATCATAACTATAATCAGCAAATATAAAGAACAATAGACTTTACTTATATGTGTCCACCAGTCACTTAGAGCATGTTTTTGATTTTCTAATTATATGAGCTAATTGGTGAATCACATTTTATTGTGTTACTACATTATCAAAGAGCCCCAAACCAAATTTGATTTTCTGGGCTTCAGCAACTTAATGACTCAGGGAAGAGAACTTGATGATGTTAGCACTAAGGTTTAGCAACTTTACAGTTTTTTTAATTTTATTTTTCACATGTAAAAATCAAAACTCAAACTCCCTGTATGTGTATTCCCATATTAATTCTTTTTTTGTCTTTTTTTTTTTTTTCCCCAAAACTGTTTTTAGTTGACAGAGGGAAGTCAGAAAGGGAAGGCTGAGTTAATGTAATGTGTTTTAATTCTCACAGTATGGCTCCATGAAGCTTTTTTTTCGCTTCAGTGCTCTATAGAGTGGAGCCCTTCAGACTACTAAAGTGCTACAAACTGTGGTGGAAAAAAAAAAAATACTTCAAAGAGAAGAAAATAACAAGCTTCTGATAATAAATATCAGAGGTGAAAATTCTGTTAGGAAGTGCATAAAAGATAAGAATATTTTAGTGACATACATTGCATAGTTGGGGGTCTACCAAAATATTGCTTAATATTTGTATGATCATATATGCTGAATTATAAATCCTAGAAGCATTATTTATGGATATCCAAGTTTGTATTCAAAAGTTCCCCAGACAGCTATATGAACTATTGATGGTTTTACATTTATTCCATGGGTCTTTAGTTTTCAACCTAAGAAAGCAATGTCATTTGCCTAATTCAATAGTACCCAGGATCTCTTTATAGGAAGGGAAAATGACATCCAGGTGGGGATGTAACCTTCCTTTTAAAAGAAAATATTCTATGACTACAACTGGACCTAGTGAAATTCTAAAGGAGTGAAAGGATTTTAGCATAGGTGAGGCAATATTTCAAGCTTTAATTGAGGAGCATTTAAAACATGGAATAACAGGAAAGATATTTAAGAGGTTATAGAGTTTACTGCATCATCACTAAAAGAGCACAATCTACACCGCCTGAGGACCCCTAAGAAAAGAAATCCTACTGACCCTTGGCAAAGACCTTGGGGAAAAGAATGAAGTAGAAAGAACTAAGAATACTTCCATTTTAAATATAAGTGTTACAAAAGTGGACTGTGACATTTGTGAACATTTAGTAGCTTCCCAGGTAGAGCTAGTGGCAAAGAATCCACCTGTCAATGCAGGAGATGCGAGAGACGCAGGTTTGATCTCTGGGTCAGGAAGATCCCCTGGAGAAGGAAATGGCAACCCTCTCCAGTACTCTTGCCTGGCAAATTCCATGGACAGGCTACAGTCTACAGGGTCACAAAGAGTTGGACATGACTGGGCCACTGGACCACAAGCAGCACAAATAACTTTTCAGAGGAGTATACCAACTCAACCATCTTTAAATGCTTTTTGTTCACACTGGCTTAGAGGAATAGGTGCTCTCTGAGTGGTAAAGAGCCAAAGGCTATGAACAGTAATTCCCTCCTAGCCTTTGTGTATTCTTACTCTGAAAAACCAAGAAAAACTGTCAGAAAGGGCCTCCCATCATCTTCTGNAAAAAAAAAAAGAATCCCCCTGCAATTCAGGAGATGCAGGCAGGAGACTGGTTTGATCCCTGGGTCAGGAAGATTCCCTGGAGAAATAAGATGGCAACCTACTCCAGTATTCTTGCCTGGAAAATCCCAATCCATGGAGTCACAAAAGAGTCAGACATGACTGGGCAACTAAACAACAACAAATAACATTCTTCCTGGAAAATACTGCCAAATACAATTTTTTTCCTGACTAACAACATTTCCTGTGAGATTTAAGCACCCTGGTAATGTTTTATATTACTGATGGTCTGCAGCCTGTACAGATGCATGGAGATGGTTCTGGCTAACTCAGCTCTGGCTCTGACCAGCAACCAGCATCGTCTCTCCACCTGGAGAAGTGAGAGGACTGGCAGCTTTCTAGATGTGGAGGGTCAGTAAAGTAGATGGAATTTCCCAGTTTTGAAATATGTTTCTGTTCAGATACTTGATTTTTCTGAACCTAATGGTTATGGAGTGTCAGCTGGTAGGTTTCCAGGGTGGCTGGAAAACCAAATTGATGCCACACATTGTCCTGTCTTGTTCTGAGCATCTAGCCTTCCTGGCCTCAGATGGAAGTTAAGACAAGAGCATAACCTATTCAAATTCAAACTTGGTATTTAAAATTCTAATTTCATAAACTTTGAATACTTTATATATGTTTTTCTCTCCCCAACAGTCTTTAGTTAATTTCACTGCTTTTTCTTTTTTTTCCCTTCAGTATACTTTATATATGTTTTTCTCTCCCCAACAGTCTTTAGTTAATTTCACTGCTTTTTCTTTTTTTTCCCTTCAGTATACTTTATATATGTTTTTCTCTCCCCAACAGTCTTTAGTTAATTTCACTGCTTCTTCTTTTTTTTCCCTTCAGTGCTATGGTAACCACCTTTCTGGGTGATAATATAATTTGATTTGAGATCTGTTTTTATCTCTTGAAAAGAGGTTTTTCATGAATAAGACATGTGAACTATTCCATGTTTTAATGTTCTTTAACTGGAATCTTAAGTAACGATTTCTTTGAATTTTTTGTTCGTGTCTATAGTGTAATTTCATTAAAACTAGCAGCATAATAAAATGTCAGATGAATGAATTTTATACATCCCCATATCACATATTAAAACAAGTGCTGAAACACGAATATCAAAGTTTTGACTTCTTAGGACAAAGCAACTCTACCCAATGAACAAGTATTGAGCTTGCATGATGTGCCAAGGGATGTGAGAGGCACTGAGAAAATAAAGATTTTAAAATATTATTCCTGTTCTCAAGAAACATACAGTCTTTACAGAGGTACCAAACACAAACATTAAACCCACAGACATGAGATATCTAATATACAAAATAAAGAAGTGAATTGGAGCCATAGCCCCCCCTGTTGCCACATGCAAGAGCTATACAGATCTGTTTATTATTTGCTGTGTATACATATTTGATTCCTCAGTAGTAGGGAATATGACAGTAATGGACTAATTCTGCCCATTATAATAAGTGATTATAATACAGTAAATAGGATTTAGCTTAGTCTTTTAGTTTTTAGCATATAAAGCTGAGTGATGAATTTCAATAATAATTTAAAGGTATCTATGACAACTGGCTTAAAAATAAAGAGTATCTATCCATATACTTATGCCATTTGTGCATATTTTTAAAATTTTATTTTTTTTTTATTTTTTATTTTTTTTTTAATTGAAATATAACTGCTTTACAATGTTGTATTAGTTTCTGCTGCACCACAAAGTGAATCAGCTATATGTGCATGCAGGGTAAAACAATGAGATAATTATACACCTATCAGAATGTCTAAAAATAAAAAGAGAAATTCTGGTTACAATAGCACATGATTATCTTTATGAAATTGTTGAGAAGAATAAATGAGAGAACACAGCTGCCTGGCGCATAGTAGGTATTCAGTAGTGAGAGTTATTCTGATGAGTTCTGGATTAACAATCTAGTTGTAGCATGCAGACTCTTAGTTGTGGCATTTGGGATCTAACTCTCTGACCAGGGATTGAACCCGGGCCCCTGCATTGGGAGTTTGGAGTCTTAGCCACTGGGCTCCCAGGGAACTCTCTGTGTTTTCTTTTTAACATTTTTCTGCCCAGTTTGA